TGAACTAAGTACAAAAATATATTATTATCTCAATAGATGTAGAAAAAGCATTTGGCAAAGTCTAGCACCCATACATGAAAAAAACCCTAAAGAAAATTGCAATTCTATCTCAATCTGATAATAGCCATCGATGACAAACCATCAGCTAACATCATACTAAATAGTCAGAAGTTGAAAGTTTTCACACTAAACTCAAGAAGAACACAAGAACAATTATTTAACATGTTCTGGAAGCATTTGCCAGCATTTTGACAAGAAAAAGAATACAGAAAATAAAAAGATAAATTATCATTATTTTTTGATGACATGATCTTCTACATATAGAAGACCCCAAAAACTCCACCAAAAGACGCCTAGAACTAACAACCAAATTCTATGCCATACTAGGACACAAAGTCAACATTCAAAAATTCTGTAGCACTCCTAAACAAAAATAACAAACTCACTCACAAATTAAGGAAAAACACCTTTCACAATAGCATCAAAAAAAAAAAAAAAACAAAAAACAAAACAAAACAAAACAAAACAAAAAAAAAACAATAGCATCAAAAAAAACAAAAACAAACAAAAAAAAAAAACAGAGAACTACTTAGAAATCAGTCAAACTAAGAAAGTGAAAGACCTTTAAATTGAAAACTACAGTACTCTGAAAAAGATCAAAGGGGATATTAGAAAATTGAAAGATAGCCTCTGTCCTTGAATAAGCAGAACCAAAACAGTGAAATGGCCATACCTCTAAGGTTGTTGTACAGATTTAATGCAATCAATCAAAATACCAGTAGCATACCTTGTAAAACGTAAAAAGAGAAAGCAATCTTAAAATTCATTTGGAATCAGAAGATACCTATGGGACCGGGTGATAGCTCAGGGGCATGAGCATCTGCCTAGTAAGTATAAGGTCCCAAGTTTGATCCCCAGTACCACACACACAAAAAATTAACCAGATGAGAGCTACAATAGTAAAAGAAATTTGGTGCAAAAAGGCAAGGCAAAAGGCATTCTCTAATTTGAAGTTATACTATAAAGCCATCATGATAAAAACAACATGAGGGAAAAAAAAAGCATGGTACTCACAAACAAATAAAAATACACACACAAAAAGACCCAAATATTAGCTTAACACAATAGAGATACAGAAACAATTTCAAAAAAAAACCACTCAGCTACCTTATCTGTGACAAATGGGGAAAATACCTTCATTGAAAGAAAAATAGCCCCTTTAATAAATGGTGTTGGGAAAGTGGCTTTTCATATCCTGAAAATTAAACTTATGCTCATATCTTTCACCATGCACTAAACTAAAATTGAAGTAAAGCAAAGATCTTATTATAAAACAAGAAATACTAATCTGTTGGAAGAGAAAATGGGTGAAACCCCTTAAGACATACGTGTAGTCAAAAACTTTTATGAAAAAAAAATCCAACAACATAGGAAATATTACAAAGTATCAGCAACTGGGATAACATCAAATTAAAGATTTTTCACAGCAAAAGGAACTGTACAGTGAAAATACAACTCACTGAATGAGAAAAAAATATGCCACTTATTTCTCAGTCAAAGGACTAGAATCTACAATATCTGGAGTACTCAAAAAACTCAGACACCCCCAACTTGAAAGTCAAATCCAAAAATGGGCACCTGAAATGAATAGGCATTTCCCAGATAAAGAAGCATAAACAAAAAATAAATATGTTGACATATTCAATATCACTGATCATTCAAAAATGCAAGTTAAAATAACACTGAGATTTCATCTCACTGCAGAATGTCTATCATCTAAAAATTAACCAATAACAAGGGCAAGTGAGACTATACAAAAAAGGAATCCTTCCTCAATGCTAGTGGGAGTGTAAAGTGGTACAACCACTACATTAATCAGTTTCAAGATTACTCAATAAAACTAAAATTAGTGATTCTGTTTGATTCAGCTGTTATTCTTCTAAATATCCTGAAAGAGTTAAAAGCATGATTCACTGTGACATATAAATACTCATTTTCATAGCATCACAATTTTTAATAGCTAAGTCTAGGGAATAGCCCATATTCCCACAAACAGTTGAATGAATAAAACTAATGTGATATCTATATACAGTGGCATATGTATACAATGTGGTGGTATCTATATACTACTCTGCCATAAGTAAGGACAAATGAGTCATTTTTAAGTAAATGGAAGCATCTCAAGACCATAATTAAGTGACATAAATCTAACACACAAGTTTAAGTATTGTATTGTCTTTCTTGTATGAGAAACCTAAGGGAGTAAGTAAAGAGCCAATGGTGGTAGATACTGGGAAATAGGAAGAATGTGTTCAACTGGGAAAGGGGAAGGGGAGGGAGAAAGGAAAAAAGATTTTAAAAGGCGAATGAAAGAAAAAATGGAAAAAAAGATTTTGTAAATGGAGACAGACAGGGGAAGGAGGATGGAAGTGAAGGGAGGAGAAAGGAAAAAAGAGAATTAAAAAATATTACATACAGGTTCAAATTCTCTAAGATGAATATGATCATTATATATGACCAATATGTATGAATAAAAAATCAGGGCTAAAAAAGACAGGTACAATAATGTAGAGCTATTTTATTATTATCAGGTACTCCTAAATGTGAAAAGGCTACTATTATAAATTTACTATACAAGGAACATAGATGACAGAATCAATACCAGTCTTGGCTTCAGCCTATAGCACCCACTTCTTTAGTTTGTCCACCTAAAATCTATTTTTTCCAAACCTAATAACCTTAGTAACATTATTTTTAAAAGATTTTATCTTTCTTCTTTCTCTGTCATGGCTGCTTCTAAATCTCAAGTCTTATGCTTCAACATCCATTGGAGCCCTTTGATTGCTACCTTGACAGCGGAGACTTTCTGGCACAGTAGGGGCTGTAAAAGTCAGATGGTTCTTGTCAGGAGAGCTGACAGCTGTCTTACTGTCTGAAAGCTCATCACCTGTTTGTATAGAGATCTTATGAGACTGGTTTTAGACTCAGGAGATTGCGCTGGTGAGTTGCTTTCCATTGAGAGACTTGTTCTAATGTTTTGATCATTTGCATAAAAAAAAACAAAAAAGAAGAGAAAGAGAACTGAAGATTATGTGAGTTTCGAGTAGAGACCCTATTCTTATGACTCACAGTGCTTTATGCTAAGAATTGAAGAAATCTAAGTGATAATAGCAGAGACTCCACACTTCTACTGTTTTGGATTAAATACACATATTTTAAGAGCATTGGAATGCTTGCTGTGTTGTCCTCATTTGCTGTAATGGTCTGCTAAGTTAAAGTCCAATTCATAGTGAACTTTACCAAATCTACAAGGATATGGTTATTGAATAATTCTTGATAAATTCCAGGTCATTATCCACTATATTTTTAAAACATATTTCTATCTTCTTCATTGATGAGGATTTTCAGTGAGAATATAACACAAAAGAATCTATGAGCTTTCATTAGAAAATAAACAAACAAACCCAGTAAAGGAATTCATACAAGCTGGGACTCCAGCTCTAGGTTGGTAGACCAAGGATGCTTTTGCTTCCCCTTCTTAGTAACAGAGAAAAGTAAATTCTTTAAAGGTGATAGATGTCACTTAAAAGCAGTCCTTGGGAAGGGAGATTTAAATAGCACATACTCACATTACCACTGGGAAGGTGGTATTGGTGAGGAAGGTGTGAGTCTACACTATGCACTTCTTCCTTTATTCCTGAAATGGTGGCACTAGTGAGTACAATGTGAGTCCACAGTTTGGAGTCACTAAGAAAGCTGAAGATGGCACAAATGCCATAAAAAACAACTTCACAGAAATAATGGCAGAAAACATCCCAAAAATGCATAGACAATTTGGCATACAAATAAATGAAGCATATAAAACTCCAAATATCCACAACAAATATAAATGCATATCAAGGAATGTAATAATCATGGATTCAAAAATTCAGCACAAAAACTTATAAAAGCATCTGGACAAAAGAAGTGTGTCACTTATAAAGGGAAGTTCATCAGAATCACAGCAGACTTCTCAATCAGATTTCTCAAGAAGAGCTGGAAATATTTTGTGAAATATTTTGAATGAAATAGTTTTAGCCCTAAGGGAAAATAGTCTTCATCCCTGACTTATGTATCCCATAAAACTATCTTTCAAAATTGATGGAGAAGACGGCTGGAGCTGCAGCCGGTGGCGGCAGTGGCGGCGCGGGGAGCGGTGACCGGTGGTTTCCCTCCTCGGCGCGGGTTGTAGAGCGGGCAACGCCCCCTGGACCCCGAAGGGTCTTTTTTTTTTTTTTTTTTT